TTTGGAGAAGATTGTTTTTGCAAGGACAGAGATTAAGCTTGAAGAATTTAATGCGTTAATAAAGAATCAAACATACTTAAAACATACCTATTTTAAAAAATATTTTGAAATAATGTGGGACCGGTGTAGAGAATGGGCTATCGCATTTCATTAACAATTACCTATCTAGGATAATCATACCAATCACTTCGCTGAAAATAGAATCCGTATTATAAAAGATATTATATTTGGTCGTATACAAGCATTTAATATTGTGCAGATATTCTATTTTATAGTCAATACAATGGATCTCTACTACACTTATAAGCTACTTTCTATTGCTCATAATAGACCAAATAATTTCATTGCGCTTCATTTCCGGCTTTCTGACTGGAAAATTGGAACAAAAAGTGATATTAAGATCATAAGCTATGATTCAATGATATTTGAATATCGAAGTAGTAAAGACCCTGACAAATGATACCTGGTAGACATGCTACTTGGAATATGTGAATGCAATCCAACAGAGGCATTATGCAAACCTAGTCTTCAATATCATTTCATTACCACATATATAGTTTAAATCAGATACCCACAATGTCGGTCAATAGCAGATATCATTATGCCTACTTGGCATTAGGAGAAAAACGTAGAAAGTTAAGTTTTTACGCAGATCTTTACCAAGAGAAAATTAACCAAGAATTTTTATATCCAGCAATAACCTCGAAAAATAATAATTTAGTTGATAATGTAATGAAAGTTATGAAAATTATGTTCAAAACTTTGATGATAAGGAAAACATACTTCCTGGATCCTTAGCTTTTATATCTTCGCAATTCTCAATTAACAAAACCGTCTATAAAGCGGAAAGTGTTAATGACAATGAATGCAGTGATGAAGACAGTGAAGATAATGACAATACTAATAGTAATAATGGTGATAATGAAGCTGGTGAAGGTCTTCATCAATTGGCCATAAATGAATTCTGATAGTTCTGTAATGACTTAGAGAGTCTTTTTGAGGAGAATGATCCTACATTGGATAAAAGTATACGAAAATTTGTTAGTACTTACAAAAAAGTGTTATTCTCATTATATATTTTATTGTAATTATTTTTATTTCTGCTTTGATAAAAACATTATTAAATGTTCTCTAATAAAATATTGACCGATTATTGAGAATATTTTAAATCATATT